TGAGACAGGGTCTTACTTCATCACCCAGGTTGGAGTGCAGTGGCGCGATCTTGGCTCACTGTAATCTTCACCTCCCAGGTTCAAGTGATTCTCATGCCTCAGCCTCCTGAGTAGCTGGGATTACAGGCATGTGCCACCACACCTGACTAATCTTTTGTATTTAGTAGAGATGGGGTTTCACCACATTGACCAGGCTGGTCTTGAACTCCTAGTCTCAAATGATCCACCTGCCTTGGCCTTCCAAAGGTGCTGGGATGTTAAATACAGTGAGTTTCAAGTTTCTTTTCAAAGAATCAGTATGTCGGTATGTTCATCTCTCTTATTCTTTGTTCTCTACTTTTAAGTTTGACTTCCTTGCTCTCTTGGTCCCTTGCCCCTAGTTTCAGAAAAACAACCTTCTCCCCAGTTCTAATCAGTAGTTCACATCTGTTCCCCTGGTCACCTGCTTCATCCTGACTCACCCCGTCACCTGCTCTGACCTGAGTCACCTTTAGTTACCTGTTCTGTAACCGTCTTTCCTGCTGAAATTGTTGACACCACCACTCTGGCTCACCCCTGCTCTCTTCAAAATAGCCAATTAGCTTAGAATTAGCTTAGACTGTGCTGTCCAACCCTAGCCAATAGGGGAATGAGACAGTAGTAGGGGCTACCTGTGTCAGGGATAAGAACCTCTTCCCCTCCCCTGTTCAGGTGTGCTCTCGCCATTGCTCCATCCGTGAGACGCCCCCCTCTGTAAAAGTAAATATTGCCTTGCTGAGAAAAATTATGTTCGAGTGCTATTTCTTTTGCGGCACCAAAATTTGCTTCTAACATGGGATTATAGGCATGAGCCACCGTGCTCCACCTTGAATTAGTTTTTGTGTATGGTGTTAGGTAGAAGTCAAATTCATCCTCCCAATTTATCTAACAGTTCTAGCACTATTTGTTTAAAATATTTGACTCTTGGCTGGGTGCGGTGGCTCAAGCCTGTAATCCCAGCACTTTGGGAGGCTGAGGCGGGTGGATCATGAGGTCAAGAGATCGAGACCATCCTGGTCAACATGGTGAAACCCTGTCTCTACTAAAAATACAAAAAATTAGCTGGGCATGGTGGCGCGTGCCTGTAATCCCAGCTACTCAGGAGGCTGAGGCAGGAGAATTGCCTGAACCCAGGAGGCGGAGGTTGCGGTGAGCCGAGATCGCGCCATTGCACTCCAGCCTGGGTAACAAGAGCGAAACTCCGTCTCAAAAAAAAAAAAAAAAAAATTTGCCTCTCTCCATTGAATTGCCATGACATCTTTGATGAAAATTGGCTACATGTTGTGGGTCTCTTTGTGGACGCTATTCTGTTACGAATGATTATCTGTTGCTGCATAACAACTCGAAACTTAGTGACTTCAAATAGCAATTTAATCTTACTCTCTATCATGGTTTCTGTGGGTCAGGAATTCAGGATGTCTCAGCTGGATAGTTCATGCAGTTCCAGGCAGACAGTGGCTAGAGCTGGAGCAATGGGCTGGCCATGTTTCTTTTCATGAAGTCTTATATCATTTCTGCAGGTAGACTAGCCTGGCAACCGTCTCTGCAAGTGGGCTAGCCTGGCAACCACCTGTGCAGGTGGGCTAGCCTGGCAACCACCTGTGCAGGTGGGCTAGCCTGGCAACCACCTGTGCAGGTGGGCTAGCCTGGCAACCTGAAAGCATGGTGGCCACAAGTCTCTGTGCATAGTGCTCCAGCACACAAGGGCAATGCTGCATTATCTCTTGTGCCCCGCCCCAGCCTCAGGCTCTTCCACATCAGTTCTGTGGCATTCTATGGCTTATAGGGGGATGAGATCACTGAGATACACAGGGTATCAGGGTTCCGGAAGAGCATGTGGGATAGAAGGCAGTGTTGTGGCCATCTTTGAAAAATCTGTAGAATCTCATTCTTTTAAACAATTTTGGTCAATCTTTTATCCGTCTGTCACAGACTGCCTAATGAATATTGGTCTATCTCTGGACAGCAGAGCGGGCAGCGGGAGGACTCCCCAAAGGCACAGCAGAGGCTTGAGGCCAGTGCAGACAGTGGAGAGGGGGCGGAGGCCATCCCCCGTGTGTAGTCACATACCTGGCCACAGCTGTCTGGCACCGGATGTGGTGTGGGAGGTGGGGAAGTTGGGGGAGGCATCCGGGTGACTGGCTGGATGGGCTGGGCCATCGGTTGTCTCTGTGACAGCCTCTGAGATACAGGTGCAGGGGTCTGGTGGGAGCTGTGTAAGTGAGCCTGGAGTGCACTGGGGATGTGTCTCCGGGGGCTGGGGGCTGCAGGGGGTGTTGGGGAGGAGACTCCAGAACACAGCAGGAAAGCCAGGCCAGCGGTGTGGGCTGCTGGGGAGCTGCTGAGGCCCAATCCCGCCCTGCTGCCCTGTATCCTGACTGGGAAGAGAGACCCGCACAAACAAGGGTGTTTGGGTTGGCTGGGGTTCCGGGGAGGACGGCAGCGCTGAATGGAGCCGCCTCAGGCTGAGTGAGAAAGCACATTCCGTGGTGACTGTCGGCCTGGCACTGTCCCACTCAGTTTGGGGAGGGGGCTCTGTATTGTGCTTGGCCAGCTCACTCCAAAGCAGCACACCCCAGGGGCAGCAGCGAGTCTCCAATGGCTGGGGCTTTTCCTGTGCAGACGACTCTTCCCTGAAACTCAGGATCCAAGGAAATCGCTAAGAAAGCCCTCCTGAGAGAAGGCAGGTGGCTGGGACCCTGGCCTAAGGCGGCTGCACTGCTTTCTGCAGGTACCCAGTGCCTTAGGTGCAATCGGGTGGGGACGTGCTCTGGGGACCTCCCTTGCCACCCATCCCGCCCGGGGTAGCCTCCTTGCCACCTCCTGGCGGTCTCTCCCGCCTCCTCTGCACTGCTTGCTGTCCTTTGCTGGTGCTGGGCCTTTGTTCAGCCTAGTCCCCACTTTGTAGCACTTTTTAAGCAAAATTTAGAGGCAATTTTTCTAAATTTTGGTAAAAATTTGAAATAAATTTAAACATTTAGCAAAGGTTTTTCTTTTTTTTTTTTGAGACGGAGTTTCGCTCTTGTTACCAAGGCTGGAGTGCAATGGCTCGATCTCGGCTCACCGCAACCTCCGCCTCCTGGATTCAGGCAATTTTCCTGCCTCTGCCTCCTGAGTAGGTGGGATTACAGGCATGCGCCACCGTGCCCAGCTAATTTTTTGTATTTTTAGTAGAGACGGGGTTTCACCATGTTGACCAGGATGGTCTCGATCTCTTGACCTCATGATCGACCTGCCTCGTCCTCCCAAAGTGCTGGGATTACAGGCATAAGTCACCGCGCCTGGCCTGTTTTTTTGTTTTTAATAGCAAATGTGCTTTTGTCTGGAGGCCGGCTCCTCCTGGCTGTGCTCTGAGCCCTGGCACCGCTGCTTGACAGGTCCCTCTCCTGCACATTTCATTTTTCACCTACATATTAGGCTCTCCCTCAAGGGAATCTGCCCTCTGCCGGCCTTGTCCGCACTGCTTCCCCAAGCCGCACAGAAATGGCTTCTCCCAGCCCCATGCAGTGGCTTTTTTCTGTAATCCCAGATCACTTAAGCTCAGGAGTTTGAGACCAGCCTGGGCAACATGGTGAAACCCCATCTCTACAAAAAACAAAACAAAATGAAAACAAAAACAAAACATCCCAAAAATAGCCTGATGTGGTGGCGCCTGTCTGTGGTTTCAGCTACTCAGGAGGCTGAGGTGGGAGGATTGCTTGAGCCTGGGAGGTGGAGGTTGCAGTGAGCCGAGGTTGCACCACAGCATTCCAGCCTGAGTGACAGAGTGAGACCCCATCTCAAAAAAAGAAAAGAAAAGAAAAAGAAGTGACTTCTCCCATGCAAAACTGACCCAAGGACATCTCATGGTTTTTGCTGTTATTTTGCTATAGGTGGTGTGAAGACCTCGCCTGAGGGTGCCCCCAGCAGAAGCTGCAGGCCCCAGCTCCAATGAGGGCTCGTGCCGCTGCTGCCCTGTGCAGGGCAGCTCTGCAACCTCCTCCCAGAAGTCCAGACTCCCCCTGTGGGCCGCCCACGTGGCCGCAGCTCCTCAATGCCTAGTAGGCATTGCACCCTTCATGGATGCCCCTACAAGGAAACTGCACTGTGCTTGCCCCGGGGCTCCTCGTCTGACTGATGACTGTAATTCCATTAACTCCAATAAAATCCTCAAGGTCACCTGCTTGTCCTGCATCGGGTCCATCAGCAAGTCCTGCCAATTCCACCCCCAGATGCGTTCAAAATGTTCTCTCGTCCTGAGGCACCGCAGACCGGGCGGCTTAACCACAGACGATTATTACCTTGGAGTCCTGGAGTCTGGAAGTTCAAGATCAAGGCGTGGGCAGGGCTGGCTCTGCCCTAGGCCTCTCTCCTTGGCTTGCGGATGGCCACCTTCTCCCCGAGCCCTCCCGGGGGTTGTTCCTCTGTACCTGTCTGTGTCCCAATTTCTTCTTCTTGGAAGGATACCAGTTACATGAGGTCGAGGCCTGCCCTCATAAATTTCTTTTAACTTAACCACGTCCTTAAAGACCCTATCTCCAAATACATATTCGGAGGTCCCGGGGGTGAAGGCTTCAGCGTGGAGTTTTGGAAAGGGGAACATAAATCAGTGCATAGCGTCGCCCATGCCACCCTCATCCCTGCTGCCTCTGCTCAGGCCTTCCATCTGGCACCACACTCGTCCTCACACAGCAGTGCGGACCATTCAGGTCGCCCCAGCCCGAGCCATGCTCACAAGACCCACATGAGGAGGCCGGAGCCCTGGAAGTTGGTTCTTGGGCATCAGGTCAACAGCCTCCTCACTTCCCCGAGACAGGAGCCTGCGATCTGCCTGGAGTCTCCCAGCCCTTCTCTGTCCTAGCACTGATTGATATTTTATTTTCAATGACAGCTTTATTGAGACAATTCGAAGACCACGCAATCACCCACGTAAAGTGTACCAGTCAGAAGTCGTTAGTATAGTCACAGAGTTGTGTATCCATCACCACTGGGTAATTCTAGAATGTTTTAAACCGAGACATAGTTCACACACCATAAAATCTCGACACATGCTCCAACACCGATGAGCCTTGAGGACGTTATGCTAAGAGGAAGAAGCCAGACACAAAAGGACAGACACTGTGGTTCCATGTATGTGAGATGCACAGAGAAGTGAGGTTTGTAGGCACCGACAGTACAATAGGGGTTGCCAGAGGCTGGAGGCAGGGGATGTGGGGGCTACTGTTTAATGGGGACAGAGTTTTAGTTTTGCAAGATGAATAAAGTCCTGGAGATGGATGGTGGAGACAATTACACAACACTGTAAATGTACTGAGCTGAGCGGTGGCTCACACCTGTAATCCCAGGACTTTGGGAAGCCGAGGTGGGCAGATCACCTGAGGTCAGGAGTTCGAGACCAGCCTGCCCAACATGGTGAAATCCCATCTCTACAAAAATACAAAAATTAACCAGGCGTGGTGCTGTGTGCCTGTAATCTCAGCTACTTGGGAGGCTGAGGTAGTAGAATTGCTTTAACCTGGGAGGCGGAGGTTGTAGTGAGCCGAGATTGCACCAGTGCACTCCAGCCTGGGAGACGGAGCAAGACTCCATCTCAAAAACAAACAAACACACACAAAAATTCAAACGGTGAATATATGTCATGTATATTTAACTACATTTTTTTTTAAAGTAAATAATTAAAAATCAGTCAAACAAAAAGTTGCAGGCCAACGGGCCTAAAGTGCTGCCAGGTGTGTTAATATGACAGACAAAGAGAAAAGAGGCTCCTGTGCCCACGCGTCGCATCCACGTGCCTGTACTCGTACACGCCGCCCTGGAAGGATACCAAGGAGCCGCCCCCTGAGCGGGTGACAAGGGCGGCTTTGGGCAGATGGGCGGCAGCCCCGGCCAGGAATCTCCACAAGTGAGTCCTTTCATCTCTCGGAACCTGGAATCTTGGGACTCTGTTACCTACTGGAAAAAGTCAAAAAACGAGTTGCCGAAGCAGGCCAAGCTGAGGAAAAACAGCTAAAGCTTCCAGCAGTGACCGTGGCCCCACCCCTCCAGGCCCCACCTTGGGCGGGGGCTCCCAGGAAGAAGCCAGCCTGTCCGGTGAGAGCTTGAAGCTCCTGTTCGGTAAGCTGAGTAATGGTGACACACCAAGGCAGGTCAGCAGGGAAGAAGGTGACTTTGTTTCTTTATCCCTTGCTCCTAACCTCACACATCTTCCGCTCAGCGGTCCCGCAGCGTGCGATCGGGCCCGTCCCAGTGGCTGGACCGAGCGATCTGCTGAGACCACGGAATTCTGAGCAGAAGGTGTTCCCAGCAGCCACGCTCACACCCAGAGCACAAGCTCCCGACCAAAAGCCGCCTCCCTCGGCTGCACAGGAATCTTACCATGCGGGATTATCCACCGAGGAAAGAGCGAAATGGAGCAAACAGAAAGAGCGCAGGTTCCTGTAAAGGCAATTAAAATGGACTTTGTAAAGCTTTACAAAGAAAGCCGGCCATTTTATTCAGAATTTACATCCCAGCAGCCCAAGAAGTCAGGCGTTCACCTACTTAAGGAGCTCTACCAAAGCATATTACTTGCTTCTCTTTTTATTTTTACCTTTCAGAAAATTTCCAAATAAATTATTACCGAGCTGTTTTGAGTTTTGAGAATAAGAAGAAAGTCTGGTGTTCAAAATAAGGAGTCGTTTCGCAGTCTCTGACTGATAAACAGACATCCATTTGCAAAACGAGAGAGAGAGAGAGAGAGAGAGAGAGAGAGAGAGAGATTTTCCTAGATCAGATTTCCAGAGAAATGAAGTGTCTTGTGTTTTCTCTCTAAAATGCTGGCTGTCTCTGGTGCTTTGATGAAACAATTCCCTCTGGAGAACAAGAAGCTTCTGGAAGTGTCCTGTGTGTTTGGAGGGCTACATAGATGATGGACACAGGGATGCTGTTAGACGTTAGGGCTCTCTCATAGAAAGACGCATAGATATGGAACGACGGACACAAGGAGCCTGCAGGTCTAGGCAGGACTAGGAGTGACTGAATTCATGGTCTGAGTTATTATGGATGCGTTATAACTAATTACGAGGCTAATAAAAATTAATAGTACAATCACATATTAATAATATAATCACAATTCAATTATGTTTAACATATTATTAATTGTATATTTATTTATACACATTATAATAATCTTACAATTAATTTTTTTCTAGTATCTACAAGATACCCTGGTAAAGTGAGCACAACTCACGCCTGGACCCCAGGTGTGGAAGAAATATTCCACTTTAAGAAAGCCGGGCTTGGTCAGGCATGGTGGCTCATGCCTATATTCCCAGCACTTTGGGAGGCCAGGGCAGGCGGATCACTTAAGCCCAGGAGTGTGAGACCAGCTTGTGCTATACATAATGAGACCTCATCTCTTTAAAACATTTTACAAATGTAGTCGAGTCTGGTCTTGGGCACCTGTAGTCCCAGCTCCTTGGGCGGCTGAGACAGGAGGATCCCTTGAGCCATGATCCTGCCGGAGCACTCCAGCCTGGGCGGCAGAATGAGACCGTCTCAAAGCAAATAAACAAAAACAACAAAAAAAAGGAAGCAGAACTCCTCAGGGAAGTGGCTGCGTCCAGTGCTGCAGTGGTTAATGTGCAGGGCTGAGCCTGGTGCAGCAGTGGTGCCAGGAAGCAAGGGTGTTCTCCACCATGACCGGGACACGTGTGCAGGACGCAGGGCCGGTCAGCCAGCATCCAAACAAGCACCACAGTCACTGAATATAACCCACTGAATCAAAGAAAACCCCACAAGTCCTCACTGGTAATGGGAGGGGAGACTGGGCAGTTTTCCTCATGGTGGAAAGCCAGCTACTAAATGAAGAAGAAATGAAGCAGTTAGAAAATCGCTATCTCGATTGTGTGGGCACAGTGGCTCACGCCTATGATCCCAGCACTTTGGGAGGCCGACACAGGACGATCGCTTGATCTCAGAGTTTGAGATCAGCCTGGGCAACATGGCGAGACCTCGGATCTACAAAAAAAGTTTTCAAAAAATTACCTGGATGCGGCCGGGCTCGGTGGCTCACCCCTGTAATCCCAGCACTTTGGGAGGCTGAGGTGGGTGGATCAGAAGGTTAGGAGTTTAAGACCAGCCTGGCCAACATGGTGAAACCTTGTCTCTACTAAAAAATCTGCCCCCCGCCAAAAAAAATTAGCTGGGCACGGTGGCGTCTACCTGCAATCCCAGCTACTTGGGAGGCTGAGGCAGGAGAATTGCTTGAACTGGAATCCAGGACAGGGAGGTTGCACTGAGCCGAGATCACACCATTGCATTCCAGCCTGGGCTACAGGGCAAGACTCTGTTTCAAGAAAAAAAAAAAAAAGATTACCTGGAGGCAGTGGGATGCACCTGTAGTCCCAGCGATTTGGGAGGCTGAGACTGGAGGATCCCCTGAGACCAGGAGTTTGAGGCTACAATGACCCGTGATTGCAGCATTGCACTCCAGCCTCGGCAGCAGAGCGACACGTTGTCTCAAAAAGAAGAAAAAAGAAGAAGAAAGGTAGCACAATGTAGATTTTCAAAGAAAGAGCAAGACAGGCCAAGAAACAAAATGTTTAAAAGCAACGACTTGAAGTGGAAGTAAAACCTTCCACTTAGCCTTGTGCTTCTCTTTTCTCCAGAAGACCCAGAGAGAGCCCTGAGTGGGTCTGTGGCCACTGGAAGTCTCTGGCCACCACAAGAGGAGCCTGTGGTCCTGTGGGAGCTGATGGGTCGGCATCGCCTGGGCCGAGTGTCCATGTCTGCCACGTGACTTGTGGTCATCCACAGCAAACACCCAGCTCTCTGCATACAGGCGTGGCTGGTAAAAAAAACCACAGGGGATCCCTCAAGACCCCAGCTCAGGGTCGGACGTGAGATGTGGCCAGCCCAAGACTCTCTGCCCTAACTCGGCTCTGCAGCCTCACAGGGGCTGGGCCTGCCATGGGCGCCTCTCCCAGGCCTTGCACCAGGAGGTTTCCACCCTGACCCTCGAAGATGCAGCGCTCTGTGGATCTGAGCAACACACTTTGTTCAGGATGGGTTTCTCCCAGAATAGCACTGATGGGAGCTTCCTGAGCACACCTGTTGGGCTGTGCTTCTCCTCGGGATGCCTGTTTAAGCAGGAGTGGGCCCTGTGTCCGGGCAAGGGGCTGCTCCACTCCCTCATGCCCCACCTGCATCTGTGCAACCACCTCCTGCATCCAGCCATGCTGAGGGGTTCACACGGATGGTCAGCAGGGATTCACCCGGCAGTGAGCTCTGCCCCTACACTGGGGGACAAGGGCTGGTCTGTCCTCATGTCCTGCCCCAGTGGCCACCCCAAGCCCCAAGGTAGAGGCAGCACAAATGTCTGCTCCTTGCTGTGTAACGGCACCTGCTCCTCTTTCTGCCCACCAGCTCCTGGCTGCCCCACACCCACAGCCTGGGGTCAGAGGGTGACAGGAGGAAGAGGAGGTGACAGAGAGCCCAGAGACAAAAGCCAATGTGTGGGCAGCTCCTGGAGGCTGCAGGCACAGAGACAGGGGTGCCTGGGGGGACTTGGAGCTGAGGGGATGCCCAGAGCTGCAGACAGAGAGCAGAGGTCATGGCCAAGGGCACTGGCCAGAAAACCAGGCATGGGGCTTGGGGAAACTTCAGGCAAACAGGTCCAGGGCTGTGGGCTGAGGCAGGGCTCTGGTGAGACGGCTCCTAATCCCCAAGCCAGCACGGGGATTAGGACATTGCTCTGGGGGATAAGACATGCCCAGTAACCACGACCCCCACATCTACTCATCCCGGCTGCCTCTGAGCCTCTACACACCCTGCTTGGGAGGAAGAGGAGGCTGAGGGGGAGCCTGCACCAGGCGGAGCTGTTGGGGAAGGCTCCTGGATGCCACATGTGAACCTCAGAGAGGGCAGGTATGTGGGCAGGGGCGGCTGGGCTGTGGGAGCACCTGTCCAGGCAGGGAGAGGGCAGCAGGCCTGGGCTGAGCAGGTTGGGGCCCCTGTGACAGAGACCAAGGACGTCTCCAGAGGGGTAGTGTGACCAGGGTTTTAGGGAGATGGGTGTGGTGGTGGCAGATCGCTGCGGAGGTGGGGTGAAGGTGTCATCCTGAAGGATGCAGTGGGCCAGCCAGCTGGGGTCTGAGTGGCCGGTTAACGAGGAGAGAGCCAGGGCCCAATGCGCCCAGGAGGAAGGAAGGAAGCCAGGCCAGGCTGGGACAGGTGGTGAAACTCGGGGTGAGAACACAGCAGTGAAGCAACTCCCGCAGAGGCTCCACTCAAACCAGTGCTTCTGCGGTTTCCACACTCGTTGGCTGTGACCACAAATTGAAAAGTCAACTGCAGCCATCAGGGCTGCCCTGCAGCTGTGACACCCCTCCCCGCCCCACCCACCACACCTCTGACTCCCTGCCAAGGGCCGAGAGCCCCTCCTGAGCACACCCCACCCAGCTCCACGGTGTGCACAGGGCACGGCAGCCTCGGATGCACAGACGCGCCTCGCAGCCTCCCCAACAGGTTCCCCCTGGCCCGGTGCCAGCCCTGCCTCGGTTGTGCAGGGACCTCTGGAGCTGTGTTGCAATTCATTTCTTTGGCAACAGTGACCTGAGAGAGCCTGGCCTTAAAAACGAAGATAAACGGGCTCTTCAACTAGGATGTCCCTGTTCGGGGGAGAGAGAGACGCAGCTGGTCCTCATTCCTTATCCTTTTGCGCAAGGTGAGGAACCCCCGAGAGGAGCCCACGGACCACACTGAAATGCAGGGTGCCATAGGCAGAGAGCAGGGCCCCTGTGCAGAGCCCAGAGGGGGCCGCAGGGTGTGGGGACAGGAGGAGGTCCAAGGACTGGCCACCAAGGACACGGATCCACAGCCGGCTCCTCAGAGTGCGGCTGAAAAGCTTTGAAAATGCCAGGTCTGCATTCGGCCCGTGAGCTCGTGCCCAGGCAGGGAGAGGGCAGCAGGCCTGGGCTGAGCAGGTTGGGGGCCCTGCAACAGAGACCAAGGACATCTCCAGAAGGGTGGCATGAGCAGGGCTTTAGGGTCATGCCGCCACTCTCTGAGAGTGGCCCTGGATGCTGCCATTTTTTTTTTTTTAATGCAGATACTCGTTTAAAACTAGACAGACTCCTGAAAAAGCCCCCTACAAACAAACAACAAAAAAAGCTAGACAGACTCTCAGTTAAGTGAACACCAGCCTCAAAGGCTTCATGATCCACACGTGTTCTACGTGACCCAAATTACACACGACTGACTGATATGTGCTTTAAAATATTTTTTAATTAAATTTTTTCTGTGGAGATCATTGTGGATTCCCAGGCAGTTGTAAGAAATAACACAGAAAGGTCCCTTGCACCCAACGGTACCACCTTGCAAATGGTGGGGCCCCACAGGCTGCATGCTGGCCCGGGTGCAGTCAAGATATGGGATATTTCCGTCACCAGAGGCTCCCTCCTGCCGCCCTTCTTTGGCCACAGGCACTTCCCTCCCACCGAAGCCCCTTCCTAACCTCTGGCAACGGCTGCTGTGTCTTCCATTTCTATACCATTGTCATTTCAACAGTGCTCTGTAAGCGGACGTGGAATCACATAAAATATAATCCTTCCGGCCTGGCTTTTTTCACTTAGCGTAGTTCTCTGAAGACTTATCCTGGTTGTTGCATGAAGCCATAAAAACTTCATTTTTTTTTCCCTATCAGTATCGTATAGTTGTCAGCATTCAAAGTCTGT